GTTAAATTTTTTTGCTGCTTTTCAAAAATCTTGGGTATGCTCGGGCTCTTTTAGCCTGATATGCAGCTGGTCCTTAGTGCACTAAAAAAGGGCAGTTCAATCATGACTCACGATTGTTTTAATTGCAGGGAGTGATGCCATTCTCCTTGGTGCTGAGACTCTCCGAGGTTTATATCCAGTTGAGACTATTTCAACAGTGGGAAGAATTTGTGCTGAGGTGAAATTTCTGTTATGATTTCTAGATAAAGTTGCATTTTCAACAATTATTGTTACTTCATTGCAAATTTGGCGTCTTTTTTTTCGCTCTGCATCTGACTTGTTGTCATCGATTTAGTTATACATGTTTGCCAATTGTCTTACAGGCTGAGAAGGTCTTCAACCAAGATTTATACTTCAAGCGAACTGTGAAATATGTGGGAGAACCCATGACCCACTTGGAGTCCATTGCTTCCTCAGCGGTAAGATCTATGTGCTTCTCAGATTCCAGCCTTTTTTTATTAATGTTTGGAAAACACAGAGTTTATAGTCTAAGATAGTTCTGTTACTACTTTTTAGGTGCGAGCTGCTATCAAAGTTAAGGCTTCGGTGATCATTTGCTTCACCTCTTCTGGACGGGCTGCAAGGTCGGTAGAAACGAATATGCTTATACAGGGTTGCAGTTAGTGGGAATTAATCTCATGTATATCTATATGATCTGCAGGCTCATCGCCAAGTACAGGCCCAGCATGCCTGTTCTTTCTGTTGTCATTCCTCGTCTGAAGACAAACCAACTGAAATGGAGCTTCACTGGTGCTTTTGAGGTACGTGAACTCCAATATTCTTTGTGATCTTTCCTGTTAGATGTTTCCTTTTTATGCAATGCGGACATTGACTATGATTAGCATGCTGATCATTTCTTTTGTAAATGGTAACATTGGTCTTGTGAAGTTTCTCTTGTAGACATTGAACATGTCATGCAATGCTTAAAAGAGACATATTACTTTGTTTGAGAAGAATTAATAACCTTGAATGCTTTTTTGTTTGAGAAGAAAGCCTTGTACTGATATTTGGCACCATATAACTCATTTGTTGTTTTTTTCTTGCAGGCAAGACAATCACTGATAGTTAGAGGCCTCTTTCCGATGCTTGCTGATCCTCGGCATCCAGTAAGTAAACAAAAGTTTTTCAGTTCACTACTTTAAGTGTATATGCAAAACATACTAGCTGGATTTGCCCACTTGTACACATGAGCATCCCATTTCTAGCATCGTTGGGGGTGGAAAGATTTTGCAAATACATCCCTGTTGCCCTAGCATTTTCTTTCAATTCATCTATGTTGATGAGATGTCCTATGGAAACTTGATGCTTTTCAGTAAGTAATATGAGGCTGCTAGGAGCTACAGATATCCGTCTTTATATTAACATAACAATATTATCATACTACAAATTTATAGTGTACTCGCTTCCATCTGTCTGAGTATGTAAAATTTTGTATGTCATAAAAGGTTCGACGGCAAGAACACTAGAATGCAATTCACTGCACTTCTAAAACAAACATGGTCTGATAGCATGGTTAATCAAAACATATATCCATTTTCTTAAAAAAAAAATCTCTGCTGGTTTATTTGTCTATATAACTTATCAGAGAAGGCTAGGTACCCCTAGTACACTGAGAAGGCTTCAAGTGACAATCCCACTTAGCTTCTTGTTGCACCCTAGACCTTTATTATGTCTTGGTCTCCGGAGCAGAGACAAGTTTTTGTTTGCCGTGTTTTTGTGTAATTTCTATTGCGTGCTGTAAATTGATTTGGTGTGATTGTCTGGTTACTTGGTATTAATCAATCTTCATTGTGTCTTTCAGGCTGAATCAACCAGCTCTACAAATGAGTCAGTTCTAAAGGTTGCTCTAGACCATGGCAAAGCCTCTGGTGTGATCAAGTCCCATGACCGTGTCGTTGTTTGCCAGAAAGTGGGAGATTCATCAATTGTGAAGATCATTGAGCTGGATGACTAGACCCTTGTCTACTAGGGCATATTTTGCCTATTTTTGACCAGGCCGAAATTTGTTGGCTATGTATAATCCTCTAGCTTTACAAATGAGCAGTTTTGCTTAGCAATTTAAAACTCCTACGATGCAGTTGGAAGTTGTCAGATTATATGCCACCTAAATGGGCAGATGGGATAATGAAATCATACTGTACCCTTTAACCTGAGCCTGTTTTTCGTTTTGTTTCTCATCGCATCTGTTTCTATTGCGCGTTTCCTCCTTTTAGTCCAACTACTGATTTGCCCCCATTTCCTAGACCTAGTAGCTTTGCCATATTTGATGAAGTTTAATTGGGAGAAAGTTTATTAACACACTACTATTCTGTCTGTTTTCATGGACGGTGGTCAGTGGCCAATGTGGATCAACGCTTTTAAATGCGTGATCATAACCATCTAGATATAATTAAATGGATGGTTCAGTTATTTTGGAGTACCTGTAGCAAAGCATGATTTTAAATGGGCTTTGCAAAAACAATTGTGTTGATGCATTCAAAATTTTTCAAAGCTTATTTTTCTAAGGATCTTCATCTTGAGATTACTACTTTCAAATATGATTGGTTCTTTGCTCCTAAGTGGCAGAAAGAAAGATGCCATTGATTTTTCTGTTGATATCTCTACCCATGGTTTAGTTTCAGATGTTGTGACTAAGGATGAAAACGGAACGGAAATATCCCGAACCGAACCGCATTGTTTTCTATATTTAATCCGATTGAATCCGTATTTTCTTATCCGACTTTATCGTTTTCGCTTTCGCATTTCAGATGTTTCGTATTTCAAATGTAAAAGTAGAAAACGGTTTAGACATTTTTCGACCGTTTTCTACTTTTCTACTTTTAATTTGAAATATTCCGAATTGAAAATTCGGTTTAAACCGAATTTGGTCAAGCGCATACACAGTCATACTGACCCAATTATAGGTTGTTCACCACGCAGACTCACGTACGTTTTTTTTTTTGGTGGCCAATTGCCCTCTTATATAGGCGGCGCCCAAACCTCATCTCCCTTCACCTCACGAGGTGGTTCTAAATGGCAGGAAGCCAGTAGCATCTACACGAAAGCCCAACTGGACCATAGCCCATCAAGCTCATCGGTTTAACCCCCACCTGCAAAGTCAATCATTTGATAGTTTTTGCCTCAGCCGAATAAATCTTTGTTACTCAAAAGAAAAATATGAATAAATCTTTAAAATAAAATACTACATCTATTCCAAAAAGATTAATAAAATTATTCTGACTCAGTTCGAGTTCATGTTTCTATAATATGTACTTGTTAATTATTATATGCACTTGAACTTGATCATGCATGCACTTAGTCATGCACTTGGTCCTACGGGTCGGTATTTCGTATTGAGTTTTCGTATATCGACCGTGTTCGACATAAATCCGCTCGAATTGGTTCATTTTCGAAATTCTGGATATTTCGTAAGTTCGCGTTCGTTTTCGTGTCCGGCTTTACCGTTTTCGCTTTCGTTTTCGTATTTCAAATGTAAAAGTAGAAAACAATTTAGGAGTTTTTCGACCGTTTCCGACCGTTTTCATCCTTAGTTGTGACCTACCTTAGAAAAATTCACAAAAGGGTTGCTAGAAAAATTCACGAAAGAAGGGTTGCTAGAAGAGTCTGACAATCTGTTTTCTGAAATGGAAAAGAGTAGATGCACTCAACTTAGTATGCTATTGCATAGAGGTGAGATAATTGAGGGTTGGGGCTTGCCTCTCCAAAATTGATGAGCAGAGCTTCTCACTTGAGGCTTCCACCACTTTGTTGATGATATAAGCCTTTTCAAAGGAAGATTATAAGCACCAAGTGAAGTCCCTGCCTGAAAAAGTACCATCATTTTTATCATGAAGTCGAAAAAAGAGCACACATGGATTGGAGAGCCTTTTCAAAGGAGGATTATAAGCACCAAGTGAAGTCCCTGCCTGAAAAAGTACCATCATTTTTATCAGGAAGTCGAAAAATGAGCACACATGGATTGAAACAAATTCTCCACTGTGCCAGGGCCTGTTTGCTTTCAACCCAGACAGTTTTGCTTGGCCCTTCATGGGCTCCTAGGCATTGGATTTTGTAAGCCTAGGGTGGAGATTGCTGTCTGGCAGGCTTTGAACCAAACAGACCCATTGTCTCATACTCTAATTTATTAATTATTAGTCACATTCTATTGTCTCCTTTTATTTTATGAAATTCTTTAGTGAAATGCATGTTCTCAGTCCTACTTATACCACGGCCGCAAGCAGTTTACCATTTTGCTACATAATATATTAAGAAATTCAATAATCTGAAACTACTGATCTTTGAGTTTGAGATGATTACTATTTAAGCTTTTGTTTCTTCCTGTCGTTGTTCACAGCATTTACTGTTTGTGATTCCATGCATCAGGTAAATCTAACATATACCATCTTCCATGGATCAAGAGATTAAAAGAAAACTCAAACGAGTGAATTACTGTTTGTTTGGTATATAATGATGATACTGGAATAACCAAACTCAATGCATTCATCTTCTACATTGCTTATCCCTGAGATGTTTTTGAAGGTATATTCTGTGTTGATGCATCAGGAGCGTGTGTTCAGGCATATGCCTGCTGCTTCCACTCAAATGCTTGTAATGCCATAGCAATGAACTGAGAGTTTGTGCTCCTCTGCAAGCAACTGCAGTTTCTACCGCAACAGCATCCAACAAGAGAATGAAATCTAGAGCTCCAGTGATACTACAATAGTATTACTACTGTAGTAACAGCATTATTACTAGCATAATCTAAATGTGAAAAATGTAATATACAGTTCCATAAAAGGCCTATGAAATTCAGCTGAAAGAATGCATGAGTATGGCTCCAAGGTGGCCAGTACACAACATCGTGGAGAGTTCATAACAACTATTTATCCCGATCAATCAACAGCTCTACAGAAAATTCAATCTTATAGTACAAGCTTGGTCATCTTGGCCACCAGTTCTACACAATTTTCTGGTAAACTATCCTACTCTTTCTTTCGTTTGAACATCCTAGCCAGATAAAGAATAAATGACACCAGCCACTGCCAGAAAACAACAAGGTAGTTTGCCTTCTTTGGTTTCACTTCAGGTCTTGGTCCAAAGAGACCTTTGTAGAGCTCCTTCTGCTTCTGGTACAAAGCCTTGTCTTGTTCTGCGAGCAAACGAAGCTCCCGAAGGATCTCCTTGTCTTCTGGGGAGTACTTCTTCGCTTTCAGGAAATCTTCCCTCGCTGATTCTGTCTGGCCAAGTTCAGATTTAGCTTTTCCTCGCCTGAACAGTGCTTTCACATTACTTTCGTCTTCTGACAAAACCTGAAGAATATGGTTACAAAAGAGATCATCCATCAAATAGTAATTTTTTCCTTTTTTTCAGACAAAGCAGGGTAATTTTATATTAGGACCATGGGATTGTTCAATTCATCAAACATCACGAGACCAACACCTTTTTGAAAAGGGCTGAAAATGTGCAAATCAGCTGTTTGATAACTGTAATGCAGAATCTTGCATGTTGATATCTGAATTCATCTTGGCCATGTGAGCCTAGTTGCTACAGGTTTTTTTAAGATCATTTAAAAAATTGTCATGCTTTTATTGTCTGAACATACAATCATGTATAGTTTTTGCGAAGGTCTATGTAAAGTCTTATACTGCAAAAATGTACTCATGAATGTAAATCGTGAGTTGAAGACTGAATGTATTCATGGGCATGGTAGAGTATCATACAATGCTGCACTGCGCAATAGCTTCATCAAATCTCTTCAGTTTGATCAGGCATGCAGCCATATTGAGATGGCATGGATTTTTCACAGCCAAGGCCATGTCTCTGTACTTTCCAAATAATTGAAACATGAAATCATCTCCCATGTATGCAATCGCCTGTAAAAGAGAACAGGTCAACTGAAATCAGAGTATGCTGATAACTTTAATCATGTCCAAAGTATAGATGCCACTAACCATTTCATATTGCTGCATGGCCTCCTCAAGCTTCTTTTCTTTGAAATATGCATTGCCCTCAATCTTTCTCCTGTCTGCAGTTGCAACCCTCTCTTCAACTGTCATGTCACTTCGGGCTTTACCCTGATTCACAGTTTATCATGATTTGGAAGTTCCCAACTTGAGAAAAGTAAGTAATGCTAACCGATATGAATAATCTCAGCCTACTCTTCAAAATAATAATGATTGAAGCGTTATGTGGGCTGGAGGCAGTAGAACTTTGTTTGCCTACCTCTTTAACATCATCGAATCCAATAAGTTCAACTTCATAAACAAGGTCTGCCATTGGAGGGACATTTGGGAAAGAAAAGCTTCCTTCTTTGCCATAGCCTAGCTCCCAACCAACATGCAACAATGCACGCTCCCCGCTTTTCATGCTGCCAACACCAATGCCTAAACCAGACATTTGTTTTTTCTCTGTTGACGGAGGAGAAAGCTTTAGAAAGTTACCCCATAGGCAATTATCACTGATAAACACTGTTGTACTATTGAGGTTGCCCATATGATTCTAAGATAGTTACCAAGTAACTGTAGGCTTACTGGCAATGCAACATAAAAAGGGTGCAAATGAGAACTAACTATGCACATTTCACTCTTTCATCTTACAACATATTAAACCATTAGTAGCAGGCATGGCAAGTTACTGGCAGGATAACTGGTTATACAGAATAGTCACTAAGAAGTAAGAACCATCATCATTGTACTAGAAAACCATAATAGCATGCAAAGTAAGCTGTTTGAATTTATGAAATTGATGGGTGAAATGCATGAAGCAGAGCAAAATTGAGTATAAAATAAGTGAAGTGATTGTTGCGGCACCTTTTCCAAGTACTAGTTCAATTGGATGTTGTTCTTGCCAGGTATCCTCAAATTTATCACGATGATCCTTGAACCCATGCTCTATAGTGCACTGCAACACCAAGTTTAGAAAAGAAAACAAATAATTCACTGGTGTTCTCATGTGTGCTAAATCAAAATCCATGTGCATGCTTCCACCCGATAGTAAAAGGACGAATAAATTAGCGTGTGGTGACTGAATTAGGCCGCTTTGGACAAAACAGGAACTAATCTGAAGTTTTGAAATTTGACATAATCATTAGACCAACAAAATCAATAGGTGTTGTTGTATCAGTACTCCCCGAACGAGAAAAGAGACGTGGGTCACTTTGGGTAAATAGAAAAATTATGAAACCTGATGTTTGAAATTTGACATCAGCATTAGGGTTAGAAACTGAATAGGTACCGGCAAAAGATACTGGCACTCAATGAATGCAAAAGAGTAACAGGAAGGTGTAAACACTATAAACCTCCACAAGTTTACATGCCAAGGTAGTTTCTGTCTTTTGGTGAGAAAGCAGCCTAAGACCAGATATAAAAGAGAATTTGTTTAGATAGGTTATTTGCACGCAGTGTGAACAACGCCATAAGCATCTCATGACCATGATCACTCAAACAAAACACATTCAGGATATCATTATTATAGAATAAGAAACAGGGCAGGCACAACATATTAGCATATATCCTAAAATTCGACATCCAGAGCATGAGCATATGGACCGAACCACTTCCGCCATACTCACCAAAGCACGTCGCGAACTTCAGGGGCTTCCTACCATGGCCTTCTTTGATGACTTGCTTCTTAACCTTGTCATGAAGCACCTCCATGTCAGAGGAAACCACGGGTGGGGCGCTGCCATCCTGGGGAGGTTCAGAATGCACGAAAGAAGCCTCTTCCACTGTGATCTCGTTATCACTGGAGCCTGAGAATCAGAAAGCAGCAGAAGTCAGGAACCAGGGACTCTCCGTCTTGACACAGATCCCGAATTTTATCGTCGAGCCACACAGCAAGTCTGCAATTCAGGAAAAAGCGCAATGCTAGTGCGGCAGCGGTGGACTCCAAATTGCCAAGCCGCGGGTGGGATCCGAAACTGCCTCGCTGTAAAGTACTAGAGCCCCCAACTTGCTCTGATCTCCCAAATGGCCAGCCAAATTCCCAACAGAAAGTAAGAACAATTCAACAACACCCAATTCACTGGGCACCAGCAGCCACGCGTGGGTGCGAGGGGTGGTGGTCCCCGCGTGCGAGGAGGGGACTCACCAGCCGCGGGATCGGAAGCGGCGGGATCTGCAGACGGCGCCGCGTCTTCTTCGACGACAGCCATGGGTTGCGGTTGCGGGTGGGCGGAGCGCGGACGGCCAGCGGAGACTTCTAGACTGCGGCGCGGCGGGTCGGGTAGTGAACTTGGGCGGGGCCCCCTCTGGAGCCGCTTCCCGCAGCAGCAGCACGGAGCTGGGTGACCTGCGCTCCGTAGCGCTTCCTTGATAAGCTACGGAGAAGCTGCGGTTTTGGTTTGGGCTTCTGCTGTGCTGGACTATTCGATCAAGGAAGATGGGCCATACGAGCCATTAATTTGAGTCTTCACACCTGATGGACCATCTCTTAAAAGACGAATCCTACACCAAACAATCTTGTCTCTTATTTGGCCACGTCGCCTCGTACTTTCAACCTTTTGATCTTCATTGAGCGGTTGAAAAGCGAAAACTCCAGCTACATTTCTAAAGCCTTCGTCCCGAGCACGGCCATCTCCAGTCACCCCCTGCGTTCGACCTCCCTGGCTAGGGCCTCTCCCCACCGCCGCGGCCATCATGCACAGCCTGGAAGACGGCCTTGCACCTGTCCGCGGCTCGATGACACCCGTCCTCCTCCTAGACCTCGTCCCGGTCGTCGTGCTCATCACTTCTCCCTCTCCCCAGATCTCGCGCTCCTCATGGAGGCGTGGAAGACAAGTGTCGGTGTTTCGAGTTACCACCGACGAGTAAATTTCTAGTATTACACGTCTGGCTCGGATGGTGTGCTTAGAGGACACGAGGTTTATACTGGTTCGGGCAGAAAGTCCCTACGTCTAGTTCGTCGCTGCTGCTCGTGTTACTAGCACTGAAAATTTGTAGTAGGGGTTGCAAACGAGAGAGAGAGGATCCCAAGTCTCTGGTGAAAAGAGTGAGTGGGTGCTGAGAGCTCAATCGCTGCTCGGCTGTGCGTTCGTGTCATGCTCTTGTGCGGATCTGTATCGGATCTTGATGGGTCGATCGGTTTCGAGATCCCCTTCATGGGGGGCCTGCTTTCCCTTTTATAGGCCAAGGGAAAGCGTGGGTTATAGCGGAGGAAAATGATAAGAACGAGAGAAAGAAGAAGGGCTCCAGGATCGCCGGGCCCTTCTTCTCCTTCATGCGGGTCCCGCCGCCCCTGTAGATGTCAACAGGGACGGCTCCACATCGCGGTCCTATCCGTCACTGGCACCATGCGTAGGCGTCATCCACCGGTCATGACGCTCCACTCTGTCCTGGCGGACGTCGTGGTGAACTGACGCGCCTGTCAGTGTTCGTACGAGGGTTAGGCAGAACAGCACCGGTACGCCCGACGCTGTTCTTGATGTGAATCCTTAGGTATGGCCCGTCATGGCCGCGGGTTACATCAGGGCGTGCCGGTCTCTTCCTTGGTGTCAGAGTTTTGATCTAGGCCCATACGCTTGGACCTAGAGTGGTCGCGCGGCGGTATGGGTTCCCCTCGGGCGAGACGAAGCCCGCACCCAAGGGGTCTGGCAAGGCGGAGCCCGCGCACCTGAGGGTCGGTTGGAGCTGTAGGCACACTCTTGACTGCTCGATTTTATCAATGTTGATGACCATTAGCTCCTCTTCGGGTACCCTTTCCCCGACAGTAGTCCCCGATTCTACGGAGCAGTAGAATACTCCTTCGGAGGCTTTTCTAAATGGGAGGACTCTAAGGGCATTGGCCTTTTCTTGTCGCCCACGGCGTGTCCTGGTGAAAGGTCTTTCCTAATTTCGACCCCCTACGGGGGTCTGTCGTTCTACAACCGTGCGTTCGGTCTTCTTGCGAGTCCAACTTTCCTCGAGCCCTCGCACGTAGCAGGGGTCCAGTCGAGGGTCGGCTCATCTTCCCTCAAACGTTTTTTCTGATAAAACGGAGGGGCTGAGCCGTGCCATGATTTTCCTCTATGGACGAGCCATGGTGCTCGGTGAGTTGTTAACGGGCTAGTCTGAGTGGGGCCCCAGCATACCATTCATGGGGGTTCGGCTTAGGTCAGCTAGTGACCGACTTCAGATTCTCAGCGCTCAATCCATATAGTTCTCAGGTCCGTTCGATCGGTCCCAAGGGCTCTCTGCCTTTCTTCGAGGAAAAACCATGGATCGAATTCGCCCGAGGCTCGAACATGGGCCGGGATGCCCGCGGCGCTCGTGCGCCCGGGTACTGGCCGTTAATGGGCCCATCCCTTTCCATCCCTCACTCTAAAAGTGCCCAGAGCAGTTGTCGAACCCGTCGGTGGGCCAACCTTCAAACTTCTGGGCTTAGACGGGCCGTAGGAGCGTTTTTAGCTTTGTATCCCTCTTACCTGTGACGGGTCGTAGCCCGTTTAGGGAGGCAAAACATCTGGCATGTTTTTTGAGGGGATGGCCATAGGTTGCATGTGCACGCCCCGCGACGAGACGTGGTGATAGGTCATGGTAGGCGCGGAGATCTAGACAGGCGGTTGGTTTCCTCGCACCCGTCGCCCCTATAAAACCAAAGGGTTAGCCCTCCGGGTTTCATACAGACGCCTGCATCCTAGCCTTCATAGCCACGCCACCAACGCTTAGGTTTCCTGCCTCCGCATCTCTGCCACTGTTGAGCTCACATCCATACGCTCCGACCTCCAATGGATCCATGGTGCCATTCCGACATCACCTTCCAGCGCATGGAGGGCCTCGTCCATCGCGGTCTTCTCCACGCACGAACCTTGACCGAAGAGTGGTTGCTACCCGACAACGAGGGTTTACCATCGCCACCCGATGGCTACGTGGTGTCGTTCGCCCACTTCCACGAGCGTGGGCTTGCGACCCCCGCCCACAAATTCCTCCATGGGTTGCTGCACTTCTATAAGATTAAGCTACAGCATCTCAATCCCAATAGGATCCAGCACATGGCGGCGTTCGTCGCGCTGTGCGAAGGATTCCTAGGGATCAACCCGCTCTTCGACTTGTCGAGGTATTTCTTCACCATCAGCCTCCAGAGGAAGAGGGAAAAGGGCGGTAGGTAGGAGCTGCACATGCCGATGGGGTGCGCCGGCATCCAACTTCGAAATAATCGGGTCGGTGAGTGCCCGTCCATGCAGCTCTCAACGTCCAACAAGGGGTGGCACTCGCAGTGGTTCTACCTCAAGAATGAAGCCGCCGCCCCTCTGCCGGAGTTCACCGAGCGCCTAATCGAAGAGGCCCCAGAGCAGTGGAAGAAGTGGGGCATGCCGGAGAAGGACATAAAGAAGATCTGACACCACATTGCTGCCATCCACATCCTAAAGGAGAACGGCCTGAAAGGGTCGGGCGTCATCGGGGCCTACCACGTGAGGAGGGTGGTGCCGTTGATGACGTGCGCGCTCCTGCTATACGCGATGGCTCCTGAGGCGTCATTCGACGGTATGGTGCTCGCCGAGGGAACGTTCCCCAACTCCGAGATCATGCAACGCATCAAGGAGGTGATGGAGCCTTTGTGGGACGATGCGGGTGCCGCCCTCGACTTCGTCTACCTGGTGCCTGGGCATCCTCCGATGTGGCCGGAGCCAGGCTACGTCGTCTTCGTAAGTTTCCCTTTCTCCTGCCTTCTCTTCAATTGATTTTCCGACCCCATGGGACTAACTTTGAGAGGGGCGGGACCAGTCGAGAGACCTCATCCTCATGGATCACCCGGCTCTGCTGCCGAGGGATTCGAACGTGAGGGCGGCAAATCACGCTGAGGGCGAGCGGCTGAGAAAGGCAAAGGAGGACAAGAAGAGGAAGAAGCAGAAGCTGTGGACATGGGAATGAGGGGAGGACACTAACAATGATGATGACGATGACAATGGTGACGACGACGAGGTGATGGAGGAAGAAGAAACGGTAGCCTACGATATCGAGTGGGACAACCTGGAGAATAAGGATGCGCTGACAGGCATGGTTCATCCTTGCAGGCATCGGGACCCTTCTCGTCCCACGGAGGGGAGGGTATGTCTGGGGAGCCAGTGGAGGCGGGATGTACCGTCGGCCTACCCCAGGAGCCAACAGAGGTAGGCGGCTTTCCACCAACGTGCCCCAGGAGCTGCCGGGGGTGAGCCCCTCTGCCTAGGAGCAGGGGGCGGGCTCGAAGTGGCCTCATTCTGATGAGGCAGAGCAAGGGTCAGGGGGTTCATCCCCCAAACGCATCTGTCGCCCGACGGCGCCGAGGTGAGTTATCGATTCCTCTGTTTTTTTCCTGTTTTAGTCAGATTTCATCGTGATTTATGTTTTTCATCCTTTGCAGCGTCGGCAGGCAGCGGAATTTCTTGGTGCTGGTGCTGAAGAAGAGCATCACCCTCCAATCGAGGCGGCGGCTGTCGGCTGGTGTCGCGCCCATTTTGGGTGGGAGCGGCGCCAGTGTGACCGCGCCGCCGGCTGGTCGGGCGCCACCCGTGGTGGTGCCGGTGCCCTTGATGGGACAGGCGAACGTGGGCATTCAAGGGTCACCTTCGGATGTCGTGGAGCAGCCAGTGACGACCACAATACCACTGTCGACGTAGGGCGGATGGGGCTACCAACCGCGCTTGTGGCACTGACCATGGCAGGTACGACACAACCGGTCATGACCTCACTGACGCAGGTGGAGGTGGTGGCGGTCGTGACAAATGGGTCACAGCCGGGCGAGACCGTAGCGTTGCTCGAGGCCTTGGCGTGACCCGTGCCATCGTCGGCCCCAAGCGACGGTGCCTGGCATGGGCCGGATGAAGGGGGACATGGTCGAGGGGTCCCCGGGAGTTGTTGTGCTGGGAGAGAGGTTCGCACCCACACCACTGGCTCCTTCCATCACCGAAGGGGGAGTCCCGGTGGGAACGTCATGGCGAGAGGGGTCGGCGGCGCTTGGGGCTGGCGGGGAGTCGTCCCTGACCCCGACATCGGTGGGCAGCAGCTCGCCCGCTTGGGGAGAGCCCCTACTCCAGTGGACGTATCCACAGGATCCTACATCAATGCTTTTTACCCTTGACAACGCCGCAGTGAGCATGGAGCGGGAGAGCCTTGATGTAGGGATCGCGTCTGTGCTCGAGGCCTAGGACCATGCCATGGGCGCATTGCGCGATGTTGTTGTTCCCTCTAGCCGGGT